CCTTCAAACGGGTGATCTCGTGAAGGGACATAGCTTCAGCAGCCCTTTTTCAGTCTTTGTGTGCTCAGGATGGCTTCTACCTGTGGAGGAAGCCGCCCTGGTTGTGCTACATCCACACCCACTCGGACGCCCTCTCAGGAATAAACTCAGGACTTCATGTTCTGCAGTGGAGTGGGGTGCTATCTCGACATCGCTCAGCTTGCCTTGATATTAGTCATCGTCAATACTCAATACTGATGGAACTCTTCGCTTCAGGAAGCGATCCACATTGTTTGCGAGGGCGGAGACAGTAAACCATTTGTGATAAACCGTCTTCTTCACGACCTTGGAACGAGCAGATGAGAGAGGTACAGCACTCCTCCGTCTCCGCCCACACCATAAGCATGGACCATGCTTTAAACTATTTCACTTGATGACTGGTGTACTTTACTATGTAGCACAGCGGCAGCCAACCCTGGCTGGCTACCTGAAGTTACAAGAAACTAATGGGGCGGTTCAGAAGTTCGAAGCTGTCGTACATCGTGGAGTGGATGCCGCATACTTGGCATTTGCATCGGGACCAACTGTTTCGGCGTGAAAGTGCTACAACAAACCGGATTAAGTGGGCTAGAAAGCGCCATGCGCGTTGAGCCAGTTTGTGTGTATGGCTCAGATCTCCTATCATACTCAAAAACGGAGATATCAGGTGGATGATTGAACTTAATCGATAATTTTACAGTATCCATTGAAGATGAGAAGAGAGAGGCCCTGATCTGTTTCCGTGTGATGTTTCGTCGAGTTCCTCGATTTCTCAATAAGAAACTGTAAGTCCGTAAACTACCATGGATAACCTAGGATTGAAACTACGACTATGTTGTTATGTAGGTGATCTTTTCTAGCCGAAGTCTTGCCGTACCTGAGCTGTGTCAACTCAAAGAAGATCTTTCCGAAGTGCTTCTTTCGCTACTCTCGATGGAAATTCCTGCCGAGTTGAGCGATACTCTCGAGGACACTCGTAAGTGTCTTCAATCTGAAAAGGCAGAGGAAGCACTGGCTAGAGAAAGGGGCACCAATCCAAGCATCAGTGGTGGAAGTTGGTCCAACGCTCTAGTGCACCGGATGAGGTGGCCAAACACCTTTTCGCCAGTGCCGCTTCAATTGGCGGCCCACCTCCTTAGCCATAGCTCCCGCTGCGTTTACACATTCATGCACTCACTTGAGCAGTAAGCGGAAATAGCACAGGCAGCGGTTGGTCTTTCTCGAATTATCGTGCCAGACGTGCAAACCTCAACCGGATGCGCCCGTGCTCTGCTCCAGGTTCACCTTATTTCGCCTGAACAATTATGATCGCCGAGGGCATAGCCAGTGAAGTGGGCTAAGCAACCGTGAATTAGTTGTATAGCCCCTGAAACTAGGTCTACATAGTGATGGGGATGGGGGGGGGAGAGGAATAAGAGAAACATTGACGCTCATGTTCACACCTTCGCGCTCCAAACTTGACCATCTTTTTGCTTCCTCCCCCCTCCCCCCAGTCGGCGGTGTCGCAACTCGACTATTTCTGATAGACGACTTTGGCGGGGGGGTCCAATTTCGGAAAATGCTCCCCCAACTCAGAACGTGCCCTGTTAACAGGCAAAGGAGAGTTGAGGGGAGGGGGGGGGTGGCGGAACGTCACCAGACAACTGCTGAATTCAACTATCGAAAATAGTAGTCGTATGGTAGTTTTGCGGCGCCGCCAACTAGGCAGAAGGGTGTGCGAACGTTTTGGATAGCGCGCATGGCACAGGAATAAAACAACCATCAAACAAACATTTCTTGGGCCAGCACGCCCTCCCCGCCTTACGATGGAGATTCCCCAGCGTACCACGTGCTCTAGATGGTATAGCGGTTGAGGGGCCCTCTTACCGTGTCCCTAGTTTGGGGTCTGTTTTCCGATCACCTCTTGCTCGGGTTAAACAGGCTTCCCGTCCCTCCAAAGTCGCCCTATCCTCACTCGTTTGGAACGATACAAACGTACTTCCCCCCCCCAGTCATTGCTTAGGTCTTACTGCCTTGAGGCTCCTGTGATTCCCAAGTTGAAATCAAGTACGGATTGCAACTGTCTCGCATGACATTTCGCCGAAAAGACACGCGAATCCCTGTCACTGTTAGCTTGCATCCGGGCAGAAGAAAAACTGGGCCAGCAGGCAACGCTCCTTCTGAATGATGGACAGGAATCGCGATAACAGTTAATATAACCACTATTAAGCCATCGTCGTCGTCGAAATTTTCTGCTTACAGTTGTGCAACGAAGCAACCAAAAAGCGTCTTTTTAAGATAACACCTTGAGAGTGATAACGCTGCCGGGGTTTTATGACGCTTAAGCCTGACCCTGTAAGGAACGAATACTAACAGGTATTTTCTCAATTTCACACTTCAGTTATATTCTTGTAGCTCTCATCCTTCTAGATCATTCTTTGAGCCAGCAGACACACAGGGTTGTAGCTACTCTACTCTCACGTAGTACTCCGCTAGACTGGCGGTAACGGTTCGGGAAAACTATTTCATGCACGGTCGCTGTGGCGAAGCCTCTGAGCAGAGACAGATGAAGGACCGGTCTGCCTTATCCAAAGCATCTCCAGAGATGTAAAATAACATATGGCAAGCCAGGGAAATGGGCTTTTCCAAGGGAAGGGATATCGGTAGGTCAGCCATTAATAGTGCGTAAATGCTGGAATATGCAAGATCAGTGACAATAAAGCGCCATGAAGGCGAGAAAAACAGAGAATTGACGCGACCAGAGGGGTTAAGTCCGGGTTGTCCGTAGTCTGGGTGCAGGCGAGAACATCTGAGTTGCTGTGGCATGGCGAAATCTGGACTACAAATGGCGTCGCGCGCGCGGCGTTCGCAGAGCTTGATTAGACGCCAGGGCACATCGTTGTTGGGTATTCCCCAAGAGAGAGAAAAATTTGGTCGCTGGGGGAGGGAGGGGGTCGTATTTGGTCTGAAAAAATTTTTTTGGTAATTGATTTTTCTAGTTTCACAGACGTTGTTAAGGGGGAGGGAGCATTTGCTGGTTGTTGGGGAAGGGGAGGGGTAATCCCCTTCTGAGGTTGCTGACTTACCGTGCCGATATAGTAGTTCTTCCCGTTTTACGTGTTATTAATCCCTCCTCCTCTCTCCCCTTCGCTCGACTAAGTTTTGGATAGAAGTAGGAAAGCTCTTGGGAAATTCTGGAAAAAGTGGTAGGAAGTTCAAGTTGGGGAAATCTACAAAAGGTAGGTAGGATGAGCAGGGGGATGTAACAACTCCCCAAAGGGGGGGTCGTACGGACTCGACCAAAATCCCCAACAAATGATATGCCCTGTTTGATGCTATTGCTAAAGTGCTAATCGAGTCACCTGGCTGTTTCATCGCACGCCAATTCTTTCATCTGGTCGCAACTCGAACCTGCTGATCTCCTTGGACTAGACTGTTGCAGAATTGTATCATCACTGATCCTCTCTTATCCCCCCCCCCCCAGCGAGTTCTTGGTAACCCACTCACACACTTGTAAGGATTCCATGTGACGTACTATATTTCAGCTGGTGTTTGCGGTTTTCCTACCTTGTGATGAACACGCTCGATAACTACGTGTAACAGCAGTAACCAGAATATGATCTCGATTCTTAAGTATCGCTGCGATTGATTGTTTTAAGACTTTCTCGATCGATAATAAATGAACATTATTGATTTTATAGTGAAGCTAGCCATAGAGGCAGAGCACACTATCGTTGTAAAAAGTTTTTGCAAAAAAAGTGCCCTCCTCCCTTTCGAATTTCTTCCTCTGGTACGGCGGCTCCTTTCTGAACCCCCGAATCTCCCAAATTTACGCGTGTAAAGGGGGACAGTACGGGGGACAGGGGATTATATAGCGGCGTGAAGGGGGAGAGTCAGTGATCATAGAAAAAGATAGCACCGTTTGATCGAAAAGGGGGGGGGGGGAATCAATGATCAGGAAAAATTGGGCGCCATTCAACCGTGGCCAGGGAGGCGTTATGTATACACTTTCGCTAGTTCCTTTTATTTGTTAGTGTTGATGTCAACTAGCGAGTCCGTAGTGAGACTCATAAACCATAGTGAACTGCGACTCCACGCAAGCGAACCTTTTTGGAAGTAGGCATCTGCAGATCTTTACAAGGGCCTGTAAATGCCTCGCTGAGTACCATTTAGTGCCCTCAACTAGCGGAACTGCTCCAAAATTTTTCTCATGGCTAATTTCGGCCACCCTTCTCCAGCGCAAAAACTTGACGGTCAAGCAAATCCGCTTTTGATGGCCGAGATGCCTCGATTCGACAGGCTCTGGGCGTTCACATCAGACGCTGGCCTCGATCCTTGTGCTTCAAAGCCCGCCCAGTTTCCTTTAACCGTGTCTCTCCATGGTGAAGACGTACTTTCGCTGCTTTGATAAAATCATCAACTGGCACTTCCTATCCGTCAAAAGGTTTGTGGCACGACATGGTTTTCGGATCTCCTAGCCAGCGTTCTCTTACTGTAGTGTGGAAAGTGACTGGGTGAGTTGTTTCGATGAAAAGTTTCGACCTGCAGGCCTCGAAGAAGGCAATGTTCGCCGAAACATCACAAGAAATCATCTGTAGCATTCTCGGAAAGGCTAAGGATACATATTGAATTGTTATGTCACTGTTCGGATTGGCAGGGGCATTTTACGCAATCACTAGTTTGTTCTGAGAGTCCATGTAATTAAATGTCTTTTGGTGACATCTGTCAACTCTTACAAGGCCGCGACATGGTACAAGTGAGGTTTTTCGGTTAGAGGACTTCATGTTTTCACAAGATGGCACGTGCAGCTCAAGCCTGCCCTCACCAAGTCGAACTGCGCCGAAATTCTCGTTCTCACGATTCCATTTGATCAGTCAAATCAACTGGCAAACCCGAGCCATTTCATTGCAATCTACCCAACCTATGTGTAGCGACTGCCATATTCTAGTGGGTGATTGAGGTCTCTAGCTCAGCAAAAGCGTTGGTCGCGTGCGCGACATTCGCACCACCACGCAGGTGATTTGACTAGAATGTTCGGTCATTATCTAGTAAAGGCAGTGTGCTGAATTCTGCTACAGTATCGCAATATGCCAGTGAATGGGTCCCACGCTGAGACACATCCTTGACAGCTCCCATCAAGGTATCGTACGCAGGGCACATCGTTGTTGGGGAATCCTTGCAGGGGGGGGGGTCGTACTTAGCCCCAGGAGAGGAGGGGGTAGTATTTGCGCTTAGGAAAACTTATTTTGAGTTGATTCATCTCGCTTCACGGTGATGGGGGACAAAGGGCCGGAGGGAGGGGTCGTACCAACCCTCGGAAAAAAAGGGGGGGGGTCGTCGGACTCGACTGTGTCCCCAACCAATGATGTGCCCGGGGGGGGGGCTCCCACTTCTCTGTGAGAGGAACTTCCTAGAACGAGAAAACAGAATTTCCTTGTTATACAGTAGCTGACTTTACGCGGGACTTACAGGAAAAGCTGGAATTTTTTCCTGGAAACTGGAAAAAGGTAAAGTTTGAAACACACCTGGTCAGGGGATTGCACGGCCGTATTGACACAACCATTTCACTTATCCTATGCTGTGCTCTGCGTGGAAAGTGCCCCCCCCCCCGGTCACAACAACCGCTTTCCATGTAGTTTATTTTGTTCGTCGCTCTTGACGACTTCAACCGATTACTATGAACTGCACACAATTTACAAGAGATGATCTTGATTCTTTATTACTCTTGGGATTGATTGTTGTGCTTACTAATTCTTTCGATCAATAACAAATAAACCATTATTAACCTTATAATAGTGCTAACATTAGAGTGTGTGAGAATAAGTCCGTTACTGAGGATCTAACATTGGAAAGAATCACGATCGAAGAATTCAGGCGATTGTAGGAAAAAAGACCTTTGTCATCTCACTTTAGATGTTAAAAAATTGGAGATGGGCCAAAAAATCTACAATCTCAGTGGATGTCATTTTAAAAGAACAACTTATCAACACGACCATTCTGAGGTCATGCTGAATGTGATGTCAGATGGAAAAATACAGTACATGACTAGCATATACTATAAGGAGACTCGATGTGGTGAACAAACACATGTGATGTGGTCATGACTAACATATATAAGGCTAAACAACGGACTCGGCACGTTGTCGCGACGACAATCACACTATACCCGATTCAACTACGGATACGGTATCGTGAGTTACTTACTCTATACGACATGACCGAGTTCAAAACGAGGATAGTGTACCCAAAGACAACGAGCAGCCTGTAGCCCGACAGGCATACCTGCAAAGGAAAAATGTGCGGACATTCCAGCCGTGGATGGTGGTTAGCTCGCCCAATATCCTGCCCTGCTCGACCCTGTCCCACCTTGATGCGAGTGAATCTGCCAGTTTTCTGAGAAATTCACTGTCGAAGCAAGACAGAATATGGGGAAGCAAGGCAGGTTACCGGACGAGCTAGCCACAATTTGAGGCCAAAAACTTTGCCCAACTTTTTCCTTTACAGACATCCATATCTAGCCTTCAGACTGCCATTTTCTCCGAGTATCACAATAATGGGACCTTCTGTTTTGGAAAAGGAACGAGAACAAAGTATTATAAAAGGACCCGTGGTACTGGTACGCCTCCGAGATCATGGAGACGATACCGAACCGTGTGCGAGCCGACAAAATTTAGAAACAAAAATAAATGAGAAAAATACACTAGCGGGAGATGTGTACCACATATCACTATGTACAAGACCATTTAAGAGGGAGATTTCAAAAGGAAAAGCAAAAGTATAGCTTGAATAGATTGGTGGGAAACGCCAAGACATCCGTTTGTCACTGGTTACCGAGGGTTCAAACCGGCGCCAACCGCCGAGTAGAGCCATTCATAAGGGCCTGGTGAAAACGTAGTCTTGGAGTTCAGATAGAAGTCTATCAGACCAAATATGGGGCACACAACAACACACGCAGTATCAGCATCTTCGAGCGTGCTTCTTGTCCTCACATGTCCACCTCGTAGAGGGAAACATGGATTCCAAATCGCAAGTGCATACACGTCACTCGGACTCAGGTCGTCGGCGGCACTACGACGTCGAGATGAAGCTACTTAAGGGCTAATCCAAAAAAAAACTGAACAACATCTTGACGTCGTTTACATAGTAGGTAGAGCAGCGGTGCCTTATAACCGACTCATTGGGCGAGTCCCGAAAGATATATACAACTGCCTTAGAGCAACACCTGAATTAAACACGGAAAAAAACGTGTGTGTACATATGGGAGAAGGAAATAATCATCAGAGAGACCCGACTGCTTCACAGGAGTCGTACAATGCATGAATAAGAGAAAGCAAAAGGAGGTTGTAATTGATGACGAGCAGAGCACCCACCAAAGCGAATGCCACTCACTCGTCCTAGAGAGCATCTTGCCGAATGATTCACAGAAACAAAAATTAATGAAATCGACGTCAGGACACTCGCTATTAGACCCGAAGTATGAGAGAACCGACCTTACGTGAAGGGGAGGCCAATGAACCGTACGGAACAGCGACAATCCCATTCATGAAAGGAGGGCTTGGCAATTTGAAGGTGGGCAGGCGAAAAAATTTGCCATGCACAAACACCTTCGTTATGCACAGAATCACATACAACGTTATATGAACAACGGCAAAAAATGAAGAAAAACAAAACAGTTACAAAACAATTACGTCGAAAAATAAACTGCTCTAACGGTCTGCTGTGCCGTGCATTAAGTGCAACGGACAAGACATATAGATTCAATAAACGGATAAGAGAGAAGAGAAAATACACTACGGTTAAGGTTATACTGAAGAATACTGTGGATTGATAATATGGAAAATTACATAATAGCGGCCGCTAAGCGGCACAAGGAAACGTGATTGCGAAAATATTGGTATTGTACGGAGAATAGGGGTAGTGCAGGAGGAGGTGGCCATGCCACACAATCCTCAGGAATGCCTGAAAAACACATTTTAAGCGAACTGATCATACTGTTTTCTAAAACCTATGTTTTGTAATTAACCAATAGGCCACTCAGAGCTGTTACAGTCTTCGCCTCGAGTCACCCGTCCCTGCAGCAGAGTAGCGCGCTCTAGTGGCGCGGCGGCACGCAGAGCACGCCCCATAAAAAATGCTGTTGTCGTTCGCTCTCATTGCAAATGCTGGTCTCAGCACACCCAGTTTATAACGTCGATATGCAAAAATCTCTGCAATTCTGCAGTGCTGCGACAGCAAAAACAACTGATACGGTACAGTAGAATCCCGTTTTCGGACTATGCACAAATAGTGTAGAACATTCCTATCTCAATGCTTTCGTGGGAGTTAACTGCATTTCATAAGCGAATCGTTACGCTCGAATCCATCGGACGCAAAAATCCATGCCATAAGGGAGATACAAGTTTGCGGACGATGTTTTCGGTTAGTGCCGTCTGAGGTGAGGTTCGCCTTCGTAACTCGGCACTAACATAGCTGGGCTGAGATGCAAGCAGGACTATAGCAGTCAGCGTTTTTCTGAGGCTGAGTCACGGGGAGGGAAGATTTTACCCTAGGTAGGAAGACGCAGAGCCGTCCCAGTCGCGCTGCCTGCTCCCTCCCTCCAGGTACATAGCATTTGGGCGCTACTCTTCACGGTAGGAAAAGTTGAACCTGAATCTTGAAAAGGTATAGAGACTTTGGTGAAGAGCACAGAACAGCAGTCAATTCTGCCACGGCGTGAACCCTCTCCAGTAAAGAAGCGCTAGAAGGGCTCCTCCTATCGTGAACCGTAACTAGGGCGAGCACGCAGCGCTGCGAATAAGACAGGTTATCTTCGTCTTCATACCCAGAGTGGGATCATCCCTCCCGTAACAGCCTCAGAAAAACGCTGACTACTACTGCCCTGCTTGCAACTCACCCCAGTTACGTTAGCGCCAAGTTGCAGAAAGACCCAGACGACGCTGTTCACCGGAAACCAATCCACAAAATTCCCTATCTTTTCAGCTTTTAATTGATTTGATGAACTTGATTGCCTATCACGAATAGCTCGATGAAATGCAGTCAACTCTCGCGGAAATCAGTAAGACACGAGCGTTTTACACTAGCTGTGCATCGTCCAAAAACGGGATTCTACAGTATCCTATCAGTTGTTTTTGCCATTGCAATGCTGCAGAACGTTGCAGAGTTCGTTGACTTGCGACGGTGTAAAACTGTAGCAGTGAGCCTCGCAAGTGGGAGCAAAAAAAATTCCTGGTGCTATTGCAGTTTCTGGCAGCAATTATTGCTCGGACGATATCATGTTCGGAACTGCCATGTGACATCGCATTGAAGACAATTGTAATTTGCCGCGTCTGTCGCGCGTGGCGTCCACCCAAGTTGCATATCGATTGGAGCACCGGATTTCATGTACACTACGGCATTTCGGATGCCGTAGTGTACATTTGTAGGTATTTTCGGTTACACAATGTGTACTGTCGCCATTTGTGACCCAGGAACATGATCATTTGCTCGTGTGACGTTGCACGCGACACCCACCTGCGTGGCGAATTACGATAGTCCTGTCACATACCCACATGTGATCCCCTCCCCAACGGCCAAACTACGACCCGCTTCGTTTGTAGCAACGGGTACTGTGCCCTGATAGGAGGAACGAGAAAAAATCCATTTCCATAGGAAGGAATGGCAGTCCATATATGTCACATCCTCGTCCTATTTTATAAAGTGGCTCATTTTTGTCAAGCGCCATTTTCAAACAATCAACATTTACGTTTTCACACCTTATGATGCAGCTACAGCAGCAATGAGACGGAGAGGATGCACACGCATGCCAGATGGCGGACGTAGAGAGGATTTTTTCGGTGTCGTTGGAATAATTGACACCTCTCCAACATCACTCAATGATGGTGCACTCGAACAAACTGAACTCGTCTCCATGTCACTTGGAAGTCCTATCGAACCACTGCTCATCGAGCTAGTGTCCGAATTCGCAGTGTATGCCTGCAGAAAGAAAACGATAGCGTGTTACTCGTAGTGGCAGATAAGGGAAAACTTACTTCACAAATCCATTCCGTTGGTGGTAGAGGGATGGAGCGAGCTGTCGGTGAATCACTGAATTTCGAACCAGCATAGCATGGGCTTCCGCTAGTCTTTGGGGTATATGAAACCGGACGACGAGCAGGACGCCGGGAACCCTGCAAGAAGATTTTAAGCAGAACCTCATAACACTTAGTTATCGGAGCAAAATAACAACAGTGACGTTCAGCATACCTCTTGCCGACTTCGAGGAGTTGGTGGAGCAGATACAGAACCAGACGTTCCAAATAGAGCTGCTGGCTGCTGTTGATGATGGCGATTCGAACGAGGCACAGTTGTACACGAAATATTTTCATTGTAGCTTGTAAAGAGTTTGAACGCGGATTAAAATACGGTATTTGCTGGAGATGATTTGAGGAGGCGCAGCGTCCACAAAACTCTATTACCTAGAAATACAACAAAAATTAGAGGCTGTACACGAGCTTGCATTAGGAAAAGATTTTTCGGTGCTTTACTAACCCTTTACCTGATGAGAATCCTTCGTTCAGTGAGAGTACGAGACACTGAGTTACACTCAAATGTCATAAAGTGTTCTCCCTGAAAGTAGAATTTGTGACCCTTTCGTTACATATGAAACCAAGAAACGTTCAAAAAAGAAAGAGATAAATACCTGACTAACTGGAGAACGAACGTGGTACGTATCACTTTCTTCACCAGATGGAAACGCTTCCCTTTCAAAGCCCCCCTTAGCCAAACGCAGGCGGATGGTTCAGCCACACACAGACGCTTGAACGCGCTATAACTGAAACTGATCGGTGTATCAACATGTTTACGTCCAATCATTCCATAACCAATGATACAGCTTCACGAACAGCAACAAAAAAAATAGGAAACCAGGTAGCGGAATGAATAATTTTACACATTAAGTGTGAATAGTGATGAAAAGCATGAAAAATGGAGCTTCATGAAAAAGCGAATGGTTGGTAATCATAAGGATCAGGTTGACTATTCCGTTGTGACAGAGACAAATATCAAACAATCAAGTCAAGAACTGGCGCTCCATAGTTGGTGAAAGGGGGGGGGGAAGCTAGGCACCGCTGTTGTGCCCCTTCCTGAAACAAAGCTTAGGCTCAACCGTCATCTTCATAAGAATATCCCTCGGCAATCCTGGTCGCTTGGAGTTTTCCATGCACCGATATAAGATTTTCTGGCGTTGAGGTAATTGGAAGAGCTTGGGTGCGTCTCTGTGCCTTTGGCCCTAAGTGCGTTCATATTACGCAACTGCGTACTCAGTACTCTGACGGGTAAGAACACAAGACGAGCCCCGTCATCCAAGTACTTCAGCTCGAGAATTATATTCCATGTGCATGGCAAACACCTGGCCAACGTGTGAATGCACTGGAAATCCTCTCACGGAACTACCAAGATGCGATTGTAGGAGAGGTGCGCAATCTAACAGATTACTCTTAGAAGATGCTCCAATGCGGGTAAACCAACAAAATTCTTGAATCGACTCTTCTCATTTCGCAAAAATGATGTTATCACCGTGGAGCATTTCCCTTCTAAGGCTTACGCAGATATTTGTATGGCACAGGACTGCAGTCCCCTACCACACCAACGCCACGTTAAATACTGTCGTCCGAAAGAAAAACTGTTGTGATGTGCAAAAGTAAATAGTTACCGCTACGCTAGTCTCGGTTTACTCAGAGTGCCGAAGCGTAAAACTGGTGGCCCCTACGCACAATTTCGGGGTTACGCGTCACAAAAGGGGCCCGCTGTGGTTCACTTGCGAGGAGGGATATTTCAGCACGCATAGGTCTCAGAAGGGTGAACAGGCACGCAAACTGCGTGTTAACGGACAATGAGGGCACGCTTCACGGAAATCTTTCGCATCAACGCAAGGTACAAATTCTACACGAAATGTACGAGAGGGAACTGGATGGTGAGAAAAGCGTTCGTTTCTGAAGATTGATCGAAAGAAGCGAAAGCAGACCCGTGGACGTGTGCGACGAGACAAGACCACACAAAGAGACGGATTCATCAAAAAACGAGCTCGTGTTTGCATTTTGGGGGCGGGGCATACGGACGACTCGTACGCGTAGAACAAAAAAGGACCCTATTGCTTTGAACACTTGTTATTCAAGCAACCGTACCCCTTTTGACTTAGATGTACAAGTTGTCCTTATGCCACACCCTCTAGATGCAATCACGAGCTCGTTCATTATGAGCCCTTCCTACATTTGGGCAGTAAAATGTCCTTTCAGAATCGAAAGATGTCATTTTTGGAACGAACAAGAACAGCCCAGTGAGCAGCACCCCAGAGTACGGTAAACTCCTACATACACGTTTGGACTTCCCACATTAGCCCTGAGCTAGTTTGTCACATTAGATTTCATACCACATTAGCGCAGGACTTCATTATCTGAATGTCAGATCACGCAAAGTGTAAACGTGCTTTTGCACCTTATTATTCCAAAGGTTCAATTAGATGGTGGGGGTCATATAGGGGTTCAGAAGAGACAAAGAGAAACAACGGTTCCCTGAGCAAATGAAATCAAACAGTGTAGTACGCAACCGTCCAACAATTTAATAATTCATTAATTTGATTTCAATACCATGCATCCAAATTTATGTCGGATTTTTATTGAAATATTCCATCTGGGAGGCGGAGGGGTGTAGACAAGTGGCGCGGCTTGACCATTTGCGTAAGCGTAAGGTTCGAATCCGGGTCGGCTCCCGCCTCAGCAGGCACCAGATTCGTCTGGGAGGATAAAACACTGACTTGTACATCGGCTGGCCACCGCAAGTCATTGTATAGGCCACATCGCATTCAATAAGCCACTACGATTCTGAATGGAAGTAGAATGCGTGCCGCATCCCACAAGGGATTGATCAACGGCGAAGACTTTAGACTTTTATTCCATCTAGAGTATATTTTCCCGAAACTTGCCTTGATGAGCAGTTGGGGATTCCTAACGGGAATCTCGACCCGCTTGACATGAAACGCCCGACGGTGCCGGTGCCAAACGTTTCCACATTGAACGTGAGGTTCTTTTTCAAGAACTCAAAGGGCTCCTAATGGCAAGATTTCAGAGAATTTGGAAATTCGATTGGGCCAGGTGCCAGCGTTTTCGCAGCGCAGCTTTTCAGGAGCTTAACCAGCCCCTGAAAACGATGTGCCAAATCCTTTCAGGGACAGACAAGACCTATGAAGAATAGGGCTTTAGGTGGTTGCGTCAAACCTTAAATTCTTCGAAGATGTTTCCAAAAAATGCACTGGTAGGCTCACAAGAGGTGCACTACCCACAGAAGGAGAGGGCGTGGCCGCATTCTTCATTTAAACATAGCAATGGCCGCGCTCTCTATGGGATACTGCTTTTTTCAGCTATGGTAATGTTTTTGTTCAGCAAACAGGAGCACCAGTTGTCTCGGATAGAAATATCCCTCGGAACACGTATTCAATTCCATGTTCCAATGAAGCGCGTAGCCACTCCCTCTCCATCCATCCCCGGGAAATGAAGTGCATGTCAAGCAATTTCATACAAAACCGCGCATAGCAAGTTGAATTGCGAACGAAGAAAGCGCTGATCGGAGGTGCTTCCCTCCCCAACCCATTGTGCTCGAACAGACATACTTGACAGACCGCAGGTCGCGGAACAAAGACTTTTCTACGCAGATGCGTACGAGCGTCTTTGAACGACGACAATGGAGGAAAACCTTGGCCCAAATTGGTTTTTTTTTACATGGTTCAGCAACACAGATGCATAAGGAATCCATCATTTCTACAAGGTTTCACTGCGCACTGGGGAACAAAACCAGTCCAACCGCTGTACCTACGGGGGAAAACCGGAATAATGTTGGCAACGAGGCTGCACCAATTTAGTCACGGCGGGCTGAAAAGTTTCCCCAACATGACTTACGCTGGAACTGTGTCAGGTGAAGTCACAGCGATATGCCCGTATATCAGTCCAAAAGCACTACTTCTT